ATGCCAAATTTATTGGATGTAGTTTTGTAATTTTACTGACCTGGCCATGTGCCTGACATGATCCTAGTGATCGAGGTACAACGATATCATCATTAAATATAGTACATTGGCATGGAATATTAACAAAATTACATCCTTCAATGACTTTCTCTTTATTTTCACAGTTAAATTCTATCTTAGATACATTACCTATTAAAAGAGAATTCTTTGTAAGTTGTTTAATATTTCGGATAAATTGAAAATTACATATTTAATTTGGTCTTTTACTTAAAAAAATAAAGCAGTTTCACATGTAAAAACTTTAATAGATCTGAAAGGTAATTTATAGAAGCATTGGTAATGAATTGAATTTAATTTAACATAATATTTATTTGACTTACTGACAGCTAAATATTTGTCTAAGTCCAATAATTGGGTGGTATGTTGTGAAGCATTATTAATAGGTACAGGAACAGTGTCAATTTTATATAATTTTATATATCTTGTAATAGGGAATTTTTATAGATAAATAGATTTATTAGATTTTCTTTGAACAATAAATTTAGCATGAGAATAATAATATGATTAGTATATAAGATTTTGAAAGTAGGATAATGTCCATCAATTAGAAAGCTCATATACTACTTCCATCTAATAATTTTTGAATACTATATATGGTACTCAATAGTCTTTTATGTGAAAGAATTAAAGGTGAAAGGGTATTTTCAGTTAACTGCTGTAAGCCAATTATAAAATCAGTTAACTGATGTTCGATCAAGGCTGAAATTTGAATTTGTTGTGATATTAATTTAGTCAAAGTCATAAATGTATCCTCTAGACTATCAAATGTTGATTCTAGGTTTTTTGAAGCAAGAATAATTGTTTTGTGGTTTTCTTTGATGCCATTAAGAGCGTTATTCATTCTTTCGTTAATTTTATTGGCAAAAGGAGAAAAATGGTCTGAATGTTTCACCAAGACATTTGATAATTTGCGATCTTCCTTGGTTAGTGCATTTATGTGCTTTGCCAGCAGATTGATATCATCTTCTGTAGCAGTGCCAAAAAGTGATTTAGCAAAAGAGCCAATGAAAGGTAATTATGAACGTTTAGATCTGCTTTCTAAATTAATTTTTCTCAAAGGAAATAAATGTTTGATAAAATCTATTATCTGATTTAAAAATGAGGAAGTTCTTTGTAGATGTTTCGAATAAATTGACACGTTT